AGAATCCTAGATCTCTAGATTCCTAAATCGACCGACACTCAGACTCCAAATCCCTAAACACCCAGAATTGTGCACCTCCAGATCCCTAGACCTCCATATTCCCAAACCCCAGGATCACTAGACCTCCAAATCTCTACACCTTCAGGTCCCTAAACCTGAGGTCCCTAAACCCCCAGATCCCTAGACCCCCAAACCCCAGATTTCTGGATTTCTAGATCTCTAAATCTCTAAATCTCCAACTTGACATCGTCCTAACTCCCTAAATCCTCATCTTAATATCTCTTTATCTCCCTAAATCCCTATCTCCCTAAATTCCTATCTCTCTAAATCCCTATCTCCCTAAATTCCTATCTCTCTAAATCCCTATCTCCCTAAATCCCTATCTCCCTAAATCCCTCTCCCTAAATCCCTATCTCCCTAAATCCCTATCTCCCTAAATTCCTATCTCCCTATCTCCCTGTTTCCCTAAATCCCTATCTCCCTATCTCCCTATCTCCCTAAATCCCTACTTCCCTAAATCCCTATCTTCCTAAATCCCTATCTCCCTAAATCCCTCCTTCTCTAAATCCCTACTTCCCTAAATCTTGATATCTCCCTAACTCTTCACAATTCCCATCCCCCTACATCATACCTTGCAAATCACATTTTTCTGCTGTATTCCAATCTGTCCAGCAAACCGAATAAACCCGATAAAATCTTACGCAACGCGTACTCGTAAAACGGAAGCGTTTTCATTAACTTTGTACGCGAACGTCCGAAATCCGTTGCAAACTCATTTATGTAATATCTCATCGGTGAACCGTTCGGCATGTGTTCGCGTGTGTCACGAATAAAATCGGACACAACGGTGTATTACGGCACAGCAACGCGTACACGTTGATAAAATACGAGGTATCAAATTCGGGGCCAGGAAATTCCCGTCAATTTACACCGCGATTCCTCTTGCAGCCGGCGTGGCTAGGCTGTTTCTCAATTAGCAGCGGTGCAATTTCATTTAGCAGCGATATAATTAACGACAGAGAAGAGGAGGGGGCAGAGAAAAATCCGATGCAAAGCAGACGCTCTCTCGCCAGACTCGAAACGTTCTTAATTAGACCTTCCCGACGATTTCAACGACTGACATTGTTTCCATGGTGTTGCTGGTCGACGTCGCGTTAAATCCTTCCGCTTTTAACGGAAGGACCTTTGTTGTGAATGATATTGGATTTTTATGGTACAGGAATTTGAGAGGGGTAGAAGGAAAGAAATGTAAAATTGATTGCCGTGGTATAGTCACAGGGATATGTGGGATATGGAATATGTGGGGTGTATAAACGGTTGATGTACAGTGAAGTTGTAGAGGCAGAGTGCGTGGTGATTGCAGAGCGTGATGAATGATATGCGTGGTGAATGCGGCGAGTGACAGTTTCAGTGTGTGGTGATTGCAGCACGTAATGATTCCAACACGTGGTGATTGCAGCGCGTGATATTATTACGCGTGGTGATTGCAACGCGTGATATTACAACGCGTGGTGATTACAACGCATGGTGAATACTACGCTTGGTAAATACAGCGCGTGGTGATAGCAACGCGTGGTAATTCTAACGCGCAGTGAATACTATGCGTGGTAATTCAACGCGTGGTGAATGCAACGCGTGGTAAATACTACGCGTGGTGAATACTACGCGTGGTAATTCTAACACGTGGTGAATACTACGCGTGGTAATTGTAAGGCGTGGTGAATACTACGCGTGGTAATTCAACGCGTGGTAAATACTACGCGTGGTGAATACTACGCGTGGTAATTCAACGCGTGGTAATTGTAACGCGTGGTGAATACTACGCGTGGTAATTCAACGCGTGGTAAATACTACGCGTGGTGAATACTACGCGTGGTAATTCAACGCGTGGTAAATACTACGCGTGGTGAATACTACGCGTGGTAATTCAACGCGTGGTAAATACTACGCGTGGTGAATACTACGCGTGGTAATTCAACGCGTGGTAAATACTACGCGTGGTGAATACTAATTCAACGCGTGGTAATTCTAACGCGTGGTGAATACTACGCGTGGTATTTCAACGCGTGGTGAATACTACGCGTGGTAATTCTACGCGTGGTAATTCAACGCGTGGTAATTCTAACGCGTGGTGAATACTACGCGTGGCAATTGAAAGCGTGGTGAATGCAACGCGTAGTAAATACTACGCGTGATGAACTCCACGCGTGGTGAGTACAGCGCGTGATAATTCTAATCTAACATATAACAATATCTCACAGCAAATGATCAATCTATCGCGTGGTGAGTACAGCGCGTGATAATTCTAATCTAACATATAACAATAACTCACAGCAAATGATCAATCTATTGCGTGGTGACAAAACACATTACAAGTAACGTCCCTACATATATATCTAAATTTCAATATATCCTTACACCCTTACCCTCTTACTATCTCCCCACATCACAATTTCCACAAATATCAATAACCCGAAATTCCAGTATCCCTCATTTATTTTAACAAATCTTCCCAAAAGTGTCGGAGCAGCGAACAAATCATGTTCGAAAGTTGTTGAACAACATAAATGAATCCATATATCCCGTTCGGGAAAGGCTGAAAGGGTCGGATAAAAAAGTCGGTCGGTCTAGCATTCGAGTACATATTTGTATTCGTGTCTCTCGACGGGAATATTCGACGGTTAGTACCGTCGGAAAATTTCTCGAGGTAGAGAGATGCTCGATCGCGGTAGGATGGGCGATTCCTCGAGATACGACCCGGAGAAAAATGCGGTTCGAGCGGTGTTATAACGTGCGCCGCGTTGTAACCGACTTACGCGATCTATCGTAGCAGCCGGCGGCCACGATGGCGCTTCGACATCGATTTTCCGTCAGAAACTTGCTATACGTTCGCTGGGACCGTGCCGCGACGACGTGGCAAGAAAATACTCGTAAACAAAATCAAACAGCGGAATAAAAGTCCTTAACGTATTTTTGTTAACAGAGGCGCATCGATGTTTACAGTTTGTATGCACAAGATGAATGTGCTCATTAACCATGTCCTCATTAGCGGCCACTGTTTGTCTCATTTTATTCAAAATAATTCGATATATCGGCAAAAAGCTTGGAACGGTTGCATTTCCCTGGAACTGACATAACGAAAAGATAATTATGTACTTGACCTGAATTTGGTTCGATCGCATGACCAAGTGCATTATACTTTTTTTGCTTCGTGTTATTCAAAATTCATGATACGTATCGATGAAAGATACGTGGAATGTTTGATCGTTTTAGAATTTTGATTTTGAGCAAGTGGCACTTTGTTGGGTCTTAAATATTCGGAAGTGATCAGATTACGTGAAAATTTGTGTAAGAGAATAACGAATACTAGCTGCAATGCAGTACCGAAGAACAAACAACGAGAGCTTACATCGGTACACGCCGATAAAACTGGTCTCGTTAAGCGCGATCGTGATTTTTTTTTTACGATCTACCCTGAAAACTAATTATCGAGCACAATGCGCGTACCGTGCACACGCCGGGTCTCGTTTTTTTTTCCTCACTGCTCGTTTTTCCTGGATACGTTCTACCGTACAAGCGGAAATAATTTTCCCGGCGCGGAATATCGTTTCGAAATTGCAGAAAAACCGTGCGGAGACAGGTGGAAGTGGTTCTACGGAAAATTCCACGCGAAACAGGGAATAACCGATCCGATTCGAGGGCACGAACGCGACGCGAATTAATTGGATATTTAACGTGGAATTGATTCTGACTTTGTGCGAGCCGTGCAGAGAGGGGCTTAATGTAATTCCGAAACACGCGACAGAACGCACGATTCCCGATCTATCCTGCAGTGCAAACAGATACTGCTTTACCGAGACTGAAAATCGACTTCAACCTTTGCTGTACGCGTTGCATAAAACTTTCATATGGCACACGTGGAGTGTACCTTGGCGACTTTGGAACTGCTGTTACTTTTAAGCTATTTGTTATTTCGCGTCTCAAAAATTGATGGAGTGTTCTGAAATAGGAGATGACGTTAGTACTTTTAGCTTTCTTTCACTTTCTAGGATTTTCAGATATGTAATTTTATGAAATATTCAGGTCTCCCAGTTTTCAATTCTTAAAAGGTTCAATTCTTCAAATTTTCAATTCTCCCAAGTTTTAATTCTTCAAGTTTTCAATTTTCCCAAGTTTTAGTTCCCTCAAGTTTTCGATTCTCCCAAGTTTCAATTCTTCAAGTTTTCAATTTTACCAAGTTTTAGTTCCCTCAAGTTTTCAATTCTCCCAAGTTTCAATTCTTTAAGTTTTCAATTCTCCAAAGTTTCAGTTCCCTCAAATTTTCAATTCTTCCGAGTTTCGATTCCCTCAAATTTGAAATTGTCCCAAGTTTCAATTCCCTCAAATTTTCAATTCTCTCAAGTTTCAATTTCCTCAAATTTTCAATTCTCCCAAGTTTCGATACCCTCAAATTTTCAATTCTCCCAAGTTTTAATTCTTCAAATTTTCAATTCTCCCAAATTTCAATGCTTCAAGTTTTCAATTCTCCAAAGTTTTCATTCCTATAAGTTTTCAATTCTCCAAATTTCCAATTCCCCAAATTTTCAATTCTCTAAAACGTAACTGTCAAATTATCAGTTTTCCACTTTCTAAATTGTTGCAGCCCTAAATTCCCCAAATCCAATAATTCCTAAACTAACGTATAATAATCGCTGTTTCTCTACATCGCCATTTTCCCCATAAAAGGTCACGATACACAGCGGTATAGAATCGAAACGAAATCTATCCAGATAAACGCGGATGAAGAAAGTTTCGAGGTACGATATAATCGCGTGTCATTTCGATAAGCAGTTCCCGAGGATCAGAACAGTAGCAACAGACGGCGTTGGGAAGTTGCGCTTCCCATTTGGCTCTAGGGATTAATTCGAACGAATATTCCGCGCCGTCAGCCAGTTAAATACGGGCTTAAACGTTGTCTCGGTTAATTTGAACAGACCGTTTGGTATTAACTTGCCAAATACCTTGACAGATCAACCGGTTGGATTTTGAAATCGAACTTCCCACGACCGTCACGATGCTCCCTCTCGAACGCAATCGGCCACGAATCGACGCAATCGATGTTACTTACCTGAAACATACAAAAAGGGGAAGAGATCAGTACGGTTGTTTCCTTCGGGAAGATTATCGTGTTTAATCAATTGTGTCGATTGCGCGGTGAACGGTGGACGCTGAGGCTGCCATGCGAAACTGTTCGACGATTGTTGTCGATTTTCACGAACTTCAGAAAACGTTTACTGCGTTACGGATACGAACAAAATACTCATAACTGTATATTAATAATTTATAAATTCTAATATAACTGATATATGATCTGGTCGAGTGAGTAAAAGAAATAATTATTAGAAGATTTATAAATTCAGTAATTTGAAAATAAAGAAAATTAAAAAAGAGCGAATGTCGAGTACTAAAATCTTGTAATTTTGTGAATTAAATGTTCTGAATGTACAAATTAAAAATGTGCAAATAACAGTACTTTGAAATTTGCACATTTTCAAGTTGCACTGAGTCATGCTTATCCGAAGTTACTGCAATTAAATGCAGTGACTGTAAGTTTCAATCTTTTCCAGTTTCGTTGAATCGATTTTCCATTTCACGTTTCAGTCGGTGTTGATGGAATTACTCGCGTTGTTCTCGAAGTTACAAGTTGTGTCGGCGACGACGTGTAATTAGCTGTAAAGTACCGCTTATCGTTCGCGCATCTCGTCTTGGCGAGCGTTAAATTCGCGACAGGTGTCTCATGCACACGTTTATAATTTCATTATACGAAAACTTGATCCGATATAATGAGATCTCTGTTCGTCTAACTGGAACTCGTTCCCTCGTCCATCCTTTCGTACACTCGGATGCAACGCTAGTTTTCTTTTCATCAAAAGAAATGTGTAAACCAACACTTCTTAATTCACAAACTTTTTTATTTCGTAATTTCCGAATTTTCTAATTTATAAGATTTTAAATTGCTATTTTTGAACTTGCCACTTTTCAAATTCTTCGAATTTTGTCAATTTTCAAATGGACAGATTTTGTAATACTCAAATTTAAAAGTTTCCCTATATCGAAATATTCATACCGACAGATATCCCGATATTCAACTATGGATCAAAATATCCCTAGAACAAATACCACAAACTCCAAATATCTCTAGTTCAAAATATCCCTTGATACAAATATCTGTAGTTCCAAATATCGCTAGTTCCAAACAGCCCTAGATCCAAAAATTCCCAGATCCAAATATCCATAGATCCAAATATCATTAGTTGCAAATATCCCTAGTTCCAAATATCCCTAAATCCAAATATCTCTAGTTCCAAATATCGCTAGTTCCAAATAGCCCTAGATCCAAAAATTCCCAGATCCATATATCCATAGATCCAAATATCATTAGTTGCAAATATCCCTAAATCCAAATATCGCTAGTTCCAAATATCCCTAGATCCAAAAATTCCCAGATCCAAATATCCATAGATCCAAATATCATTAGTTGCAAATATCCCTAGTTCCAAATATCCCTAAATTCAAATATCTCTAGTTCCAAATATCCCTAGATCAAAAAATTCCTAGATCCAAATATCCATAGATCCAAATATCATTAGTTGCAAATATCCCTAGTTCCAAATATCCCTAGATCCAAAAATCCTTAGATCCAAATATCCTCAGCTCCAAATATCCCTAGATCCAAATATCCTTAGTTCCAAATATCCTTAGTTCCAAATATCCCTAGATCCAAAAATCACGAGTTCCAAATATCCCAAGCTCCAAATATCCCCAGTTCCAAATATCCCCAGCTCCCAATATCCCTAGATCCAAATATTTCCACTTTCAAGTGTCCCTAGATCGCATCATCCTTACATCGAAACATCCCTAGATCACTATAACGTTTCCCGAATCGAATATCCCTAGATCACAATATCGATGGTTTACAATAACCTTATACTTCAATATTCCTAGCTCCAATATCCCTAAATCTCCCAAACGTTACAATGACGAACTATGTCCCCAAATTTCAATATCCGAAAAGTTTTTTAAGGAACAGTAAACTTGTTTCTATTGATCCGTCATATTTTTCCCAAGGTAACCAGATTTGCCATTGACTGTACGCAGTGTTCAGCGACGAGCTAAGAAAATCAGCCAGCGAACAAAAGTTCCGCTGAATAAATGAAATGCAGTTAAACCGATCTTGCTGCGGGTAGTTGGCTGGTTGTTTCTCTTTCAAGAAAACACCGTCCGCCTCGTTTCTCTCGCAGCTAAACAGTAACAAACGTCGGGTTCGCGGTGGTAAGCATTAAAACGTAAGAAGCTCCTTTTTAAACGGAATCAGCGAATCCCGTTTAAGGATTACGCTTTTCGTTAAGGATGCCGGAACAATTGAAGTTTTAACTTGTGCAACGAAATAAAGGAATTTTTAGTCGGTTAAATTTCCCTGCTTCTTCGGTTGTCTTCTACGAGATTACTTTGACGGAGAAACGATTCGCGATGCTACCGTAATCCTTGCGAGTCTCGTTTTCTTACAGGGAACGGTTGCATTTACGACGTGCTTTCTCTTCTTTTTTTTGGGGGGAGATATTTCGGGGTGTTCCAGTTTCATTATACCCGTCGACGGTGATTTACTCGTCGATTCTCCTTAAGCCGATATCATATTTACGACGTATCATCCGAAAGTAAAGCTCGCGGCGCGCGCTTTCCACGGTAAATATTTGCTCGATGAAGTGGCAGTTATCGTGCAGCTTCGCGTTATGGATCGAATAGATGCCACGAATAAAGCGAAATATTTATTTTCCGCGAGTACGCGGCTTAAACTATTACTTCCCGCGTTACGGATGTTTGCCGTATCTTAAACGATCAACATTTTTTACGTCTTACACATACTGTTCTGTTTTCCATAGAATTATATTAACGCGTTGGCCGCAGCAATGAACTCACGCGACAAAGCACGCTGCAACACAATTTCATTTAATAATATTTCTTTCCGCCGTTCGGATATTTAATTTAACCGAATTCGTTGCCATGGCAATTAACATGTTAATTACAATACCTCCCGGAGGCATTATTCCTACAGTATCGAATATTTCCGAGCGAATATCATATAACGTGTCGTATCTGATTAAAAGATCAAAAGCTGTTTAACATTTTTGATCGCGAAACACTAGCACAGTGTATTATCGGACAAAGCAGCAGGTATTTAAAATGTTCGACAAGCTGCTATTACCGTCGTATAATCGAAACGAAATTTCAAAAGCGATTCTCGTTTCCGTTATTCCGAGCCGCATGCCCGGAGAACCGTTTCGTCGGTTGTTTAACTGCACCGGAATTTCGGAGCGAAATAAATTTTACACATTTTACGCGCGTCTCGAATAACTACTAGCTCTTTATTCGTTTCATGTATGTAATTAGCTGTTTCGAGGTTTCATTTATTTCGCCTGCACTGTTATGAACTACTGTATCGCAAAACACGAGTTCTCCTCTGCCGCCAGCTACAATATTTTCGCTGCAATTTTCAAGACCGCGCTCTGCAATTACCGTGATTATTGTACGAATTAATTAATAAATTACAATTGTTGCGTGCGGAGCAACGAAAACAGTTGCGAATTCTGATTCCACAAATTGTTACCTTCAGTTTCATAGATATTTTATTATTACGTTGATCTGTATGATTATTTTATTATCTGTACGATATTTTATTTACTGTCACATGTTCTTTATGATAAGAATACATTTGGAGCAATTCATAATTCAATAAAATAAATGTGTTCAAGTTTATGCATCGACGAGCATATTAATTTTAATGCCACACGTTATAAATTTTAATGTATACACATTGTAGAGATTTTATTTCAAGTATCTATTTTTTAGAAATTTTATTTTAGGTACGTAATTTATAACAACTTTATTTTAAGTGTGTAATTTGTAGCAACTTTATTTTAGATACATAATTTGCAGTAACTTCATTTTAAGTACATAATTTGTAGGAACTTTATTTTAAGTACATAATTTGTAGCAACTTTGTTTCAAGTACATAATTTGTAGCAACATAATTTTAACTGTACATCATACAGTAAACTTGTTTTTATTTTAAGTACCATATAGCAACTTTATTTGAACTCTACATCGCACAGTATTTTTACTTGAAGCGCATACCATGTAGCAATTTTAAGTACATAATTTGTAGCAAGCTTATTTGAAGTCCATAATTTTTTAGCAACTTTATTTTAACTGTCGTTATAACGTGAACATATTTCACCTGTGCATCGAAGCGTTATTAAAAGTTTAAGCAGCACATCTCACCGAGAAACTAAAATAAGCCTTCAAACCACATCAACATGCGTTCCGATTGAATTCTGCGTAGATGAACCTGTCCCGAATAAAATAATTTCTCGCCGCAGTTTACAGCGACTTTTTCCCGGGCAATCAAAGCGTTAAAGGTCACAGAGGGCATCGAGAAACCGCTCGGTAAGTTTCGAGTTGGGAAGTTGAGGGTCTCTCTCTCTCTCCTAACACGGCCACGCAAACTCTTTTGATTCCCGTTGCCTGAGTTCCCGCTGGTAATTAAATCCCGAGCTCCATCGCCAGCCCGGCTCGGCCCGCCGCGGTATGACGCAGAGAGAACTCCCCGAGCTTTGAGCTCGCAAAGTCCGCGAACTATCGAACGCGAACCAATTACTGTAACTAATTAGCCATTCGAGCTCTCGAGCTTTCGAGTTCGCTAAGCCCCGTTAGCGTTCCCGGAAACACCGTTTCGAACCGGAGAGAGAGGAGGCCGACCGTTCGTTACCCACAGGTGGAAAAAAAGTGAAAATCGTGGCTGGTAACCTTGCCTCTTTTCGCGACCTTGATTCTCCTTGATGGACTTCAACGTCTAGTTTTATTCGGTCCACTTTCACGAGTCAACTAACTCGAAAAATCCACTATTTAAAAAAGGAGAAAAGGTAGGTGTATTAGGTCGTATGGAGATCTAAGGATATTTCAAGACTTACGGCTGAAGATATTTGTAGGACCAGGAATATTCAGAGATTTAGGGATATTTCGGCAATTTTAGAATATTCGTAGAGCTAGGGATATGCTGGAGTATAGGGA